GGCAAACGGGCAAGTCGAAGTGACTAATCGAACCATCCTCCAAGGATTGAAAAAACGACTGGAGAAAGCATCGGGCGCTTGGGTCAACGAGTTGACAACAGTCCTATGGGCTTACAGGACGACTCCAAGAAGTTCGACGGGACAATCCCCATTTCACATGGTTTACGGGATGGATGCACTACTGCCGATTGAAGTCGGCCTCGACTCTCACAGATCAAAGTTCTATGAGGAAAGGAAAAATGAAGAAATGATTGAAGAAGCCCAAGACCTAATTGAGGAGGGCCGAGAGGAAGCCTGGGTACGTTCCGTCGAGTACAAACAGAAAATGCGAGCAGCCTTCGACAAAAAGGTCAGAACCAGACGATTCCAAGTGGGGGACCTCGTCCTCAAACGGGCCGACGCCCTCAAACATGTCGGCAAGCTCGAAGCTAATTGGGAAGGGCCCTACACCATCACAAAGGTGCTCGTGAGGGGCGCGTATGAACTCGAAGACGGAGAAGGTCGACAACTCCCGCGATCCTGGCACGTGATCCATCTCAAACGCTTTTACGCTTAAGGCAATATTTCGAATTACTTTTTGTACCGAACAATGTCTGAATTGAATTCAATGATAAAATGAATGTTTATGCTTCAATAATGTTTCTTACATTTATGAGCCGACTTCAATATGATTGCATGAAAAATTGAATTTTTCAACGCGGCTATAAAGCCGACTAACTTTCCAACGATTATGAAATCAATTAACACAACTACGAAGTTGTAAAACTCTCGAGCGGAATCTCGAGCAGGCTACGAAGCCTTCGACTACGAAGTCGACTAACACAACTACGAAGTTGTAAAACTCTCGAGCGGAATCTCGAGCAGGCTACGAAGCCTTCGACTACGAAGTCGACTAACACAACTACGAAGTTGTAAAATCCTCGAGCAGAATCTCGAGCAGGCTACGAAGCCTTCGACTACGAAGTCGGCTAGCACAACCATTAACAATCGGAACTCTCGAACGGAACCTCGAGCAAGTCACTAATCTCACTCATAACATCGGGAAACACAATTATGTAATGGACGCGTTATCAAGAATGAATATCCTCGAACAATCAAATTTGGTACACATCTAGATAACGAACAATTGACACGGCTACGAAGCTGTTCAAATTCCTGCTCGACTTTAACCAGCTCGCAAGGGTTGGGAGGAGACGAGTTGAAAAACTTACGTTTCACAGCTACGAAGCTGTTCAAATCCTTGCTCGACTTCGACCAGCTCGCAAGAAGGGTTGGGAGGAGACGAGGTGAAAAACTTAAACGTTTCACAGCTACGTAGCTATTCAAACCCTTGCTCGACTTCGACCAGCTCGCAAGAAGGGTTGGGAGGAGACGAGTTGAAAAACTTACGTTTCACAGATACGAAGCTGTTCAAATCCTTGCTCGACTTCGACCAGCTCGCAAGAAGGGTTGGGAGGAGACGAGTTGAAAAACTTGCGTTTCACAGCCAAGCTGTTCAAATCGTTGCTCGACTTCGACCAGCTCGCAAGAAGGGTTGAGGAGAAGATACACAGGGAACAACAGCAGGATAATTCGAAATACAATTCAACACAAGGAAAGCAACATATCTTAAAATTCGAAATATTGATAAACGAAATCCTTTACATTCCGAGTCGCCCCGACCTTTACATATCTCGAAAATAGGTCGAGGCAACAGATCTTAAAAATTTTCTTAACAAAAGAAACAAGGAAAGCAGAAAACATTTCTAGGACTCGGCATCGGACTTCTCATCTACATCATCATCTCCGGCAGCAATGGTCTGAGTTCTCTCAACGCTGTCACTCCCGCCTTGCTCGACCGCCGCGGCTTCTCCCTCCTCGGCCAACCCTTCATCTCCCCCGACATCGAGAGATTCCTCATCATCTGCCCCACTTGGGCCGACTAAGTCGGTCGGACCGCCCAAGGGAGCAGGAGGAACCTCCAATCGACCCTCCAGCTTGGCCTTGCGAATGGCCCTCGCCTCGAGACCAACCCACCATGGGTGGTCGGGAGGAAGAGCCGTATCCCCCTTGTAGCCGGCGGGAAAGGGAAGAGTCTTTTTTACCGCCTCGCGGTCGAGCCTACCCTCGCATTCTGTCTTTTCCACAGCCTTCTCCCAGGCATCGAAGGTAAAATCAAAGTACTGAAGAGTTGCAGGACAAAGCTTGTCGAGGAAGGCAGGGGAGTTGCAGAAGAGGTTGACAGTCTCTTGTCGATAATGCTCTAAGAAAACGGAGCCGACCGGGGACTTGAGAAAGGTCCTGCGTCCCTCGAGAACACCCGCCTCCCTCTCAACCAAGGCGTCATCCGCGGCCTTCTCCAGATCGGCTCGCAGCTGGTCAACCTTTGAAAGAGCCGCAGCCTTCTCAGTTTTAAGTTTAGCAACGAGGGCGTTTGCTGCGAGGAGATCATCATCCTTCTTCTCGAGCTCGAGGAGCAGATCCTCGTATTTCTTCTTGTAAGCACGGACGTTAGAGTCAGGCGAGGCGGTGTCCTCGACAAGAGAGGGCATAATAAAAGCCATGAACTGAAACCACGAGTAAATGAAATCAGAAAAGGTTACAAACTAAAGTAGAAATAATCAACTGAATGAAAAGATAAATTACCCGGGAGAGACAAAGGAGCGCGCGACTAGCACGATCGTAAGGATCACGGCCACCCTCGCAACTTCCGGCCACCACGCACGATCCAAGGAGTTCTCGAGGGCCCCTGGACGCTCCCTTTGCCGTGTGAGCCACCTTCAAACGCCGAGGTGTTTGGTAGCCTACTGAACACCATGGATTATTATGTGTTTTATATGTGTTCATGGCTGATTATATGATATTATGTTGTGTTAGATATCAAAATGTTGATATAGTGTATTATTTATATATAATTGTATTGGATCTTTAGGGTTTAAAGTGAAACCTGTATGATCTGATGTTTACTCGTAGAAATCATGTGGACTCTGAAACGTATGAGTGTCCTTGTGATGCTGGTTTTGACCTTGTGTCATTTGGAGGTCTAGATTATGAGAAGATGAATTTTTGAACTTGTTGTTGCTGCAGTTATTTGTAAAAATTCGTGATAACTCGAGTTGTTATCCAAAAATTCTAAAATTTTAATAAGTTGTTCCTCTGATATGTGTTGTCATTGTGTATAAATTTTGTAATTTTTGGAATCCATTTGTTAGGGTAAATGTCTATTTTAATTTAGGGCCTGAAACTTGTTTAAATCCTGATAAATCGGTTCCATGGTTGAAATTTAGTTTACATGCTCATTTGATGTTTTATTATATGATATAAAAATCCCAGATTTTGTTGAATTCATTATAATGGGTTTTTGATGAAAAAATGATTTCCGCTGAATCTTGCAATAATTTCTATAAATCGTGTATTTAATGTTTTTCACTGAAAATTTTATATGTTGCACCTCGCATGCTGAAGTTGTTCGTGTAAAAATTCCAGGACTTAAATCGTTCGTTAGGTCAGGTTATAAATTCATGCTTGTTCTTGCTGAAATATTGTTTTAATTTTATAAAATCGCATGTGTAAGTGCTATAGCTGAAACTTGGTGGATTTAATGTATTCAGTGAGGTCTTTTATGTGTCCAAATTTCAAAATAAAATTCATCCATTTGCATGTTCAACTAGAAAATGTGATTTGCCTGTCAAATTTCTCAAATATCGGTTGGATAGGTTAGCATTCGAATTTTGGTATGATTTTTAATATATGATGTTCTCTTTGCATGTTTTATAATTGGTGTAAGTTTCAAGTTAAGTGAATGAGTAGATAGTGAGATAGCTTTTTGTGTGTTATCCTCCTTTGGTTTGAGTCGAATCGAATGTTCCATAACTCCACCAGAATTTCCCACGAGCCACTTAGTCGACGAGTTCAACTAAGTTTGTGTGATCGTTGGATTTGTTGTAATCGAGAGGTTATCTTGATTTCATGTAGGTGTTTAAGATATTGACCTCAAATCCTATCTTCTCGAGCCATGTGTTTGTGATATAACGCTGCTTTCAGGTGGGTACATTTACATTGTATCTATAATTATCGCACTCGTTGTTTCGTATAAATGTTCGTCTCGATAGCTGTTGTATGAGTGAGAACCCTAGTCTAGGTGTCCCATTGATAGTGCCTTTGATGAATGCATAAATAGTGATAGGTCGCCTGCCCGTTGCTAGTCGGGAGGTGGACGCCCTGATCCGTGTGTTATTCGGGGGAAAAAAACAGCTCCACTGTCTCCTGGAAAGGATCCCATGATCCGTGTGTTATTCGGGGTGGGAAGGTTTCCGGTTACTTCCTTGCCGATGTCTGATCGGAACGTTGTTGTATGTACATAGGAGTTTGCGATAGGGCCAGGTAAGGAGTTAGACATGGATTCTATGCATACTTTATTTATGGTTTTGAATCTTTATGCGTGATATACTGTGCGGTAATGGTGAGCATAATGGTTTTGCTCACCCCCATTCTTTTTCTCCTTGTCTGCTCTTCTCTTCCTCAGGTTGAGTAGGGCTGGCGGCGGCGGCGTGAAGACGAACGAGTGGTGGTCATTTGTCGTCGTATTCTCGTTGTCTTATGCTTCCGCCTACTTTATGATTATGTTAAACTATTGCTCTTGTCTTTGATTTTTCCTGCTTCAGTTTGGATATATTGATGATGTCGGGTTGAACCTTTGGAGTAATGTTTAACTTTCTGGTTGGATTTGAAACCTAATGAATAAATTGGTTTAATTTTTATGACTGTTAGTTTATGCATGTATAGGTTAAATCTTTCTGTTCGTATTTGTTTGATTGTCTTTCGTAGTTAAGTAGCGCCCGTTGAGAAATAAGTTTTTAATTTGAGATTTTGCGAAAATTTTACTCTGATTTTCATCAATAAATTTAGAAAATTCTTTAAAATAAAATAGGGCGTTACACAACCCAACCGAGGAGGACAAATGGAGATGGTGTCTGGCAAAAAATGGTAAATTTTCACTAGCTGCATCTTATTCTTTTTTTATGAGTAAGAAGATACAAAAGTTGGATATAGCAGAGGGAAGTACCACAGCTGATAGAACCAGAAGAATAAAGCTGAGAAGTTGGAAATTGCGAATACAATGTAAACTCAAACATTTTGTGTGGAAATGTTTCAATGGTATTCTCCCGGTTAATGTGACTGTTAAGAAGAGGGGTATCATAGTGGATGTGGTGTGCCATAGCTGTGGAGAGGAAGAGGAGACTATAGAGCATTTTATTTTATTTTATTTTTTTCAGATGTCGAAGAGCTAGAGATGTGTGGAAACATGCACCTGTGAGGTGGGATGGAATGGTAACTGATACCTACAGAAGGTCAATTGCCTCTCTCTGTCTTCTAGATTTTCGAGGTTTGCCCTTGATCTATTTATCCATGATACCCGATCTTGACTTGAAAAGTCTTGCCTTCCGCTCCCAGCCACGATCTATTAATCGAGTTTCATGCATATGAAGCTGAAATGACAGTAGAAGAACATCATCGACATCATCATTTGTCTTTCATGATGGTGAGAGGCAAGATTTCGTGGTACGAGCGCACAACTTCTTTTTATTAGAATGATAAAAGACATTCCCGAAGACCTCTTTTCTTCCAGGTCAAAAAAGCCGAAGTGAGAGTTTCATCCTTCGAACCAGAACAGACTGCTATTGGCGGCTTCGCCTAACAAATCGTTTAGAGATTGGTGGGGTTGTGTCTGCTCAATTGATAATTCAGAAACTTCAGAGGCCAAGATCCAGTTAACAACGTTATACTATGGTGGCTTTGGACGCCCCGCAATTTGTGGAAACTCGAGGGCATTTGGAGACCGGAGCTGAATATTGTGCAAGCGGCGATCAGAGATTTGGTTGAGTTCACAGAGCTGGGAAAGAGTTCGAAGATGATCAAAATAAGAATTAGTTAGGTTTGATCTTTTCAGTACAGCGACTAGGTTCTGTTTTGATTGTATGTTTGTTTAATGTGTTGTTGTGTTAATAGTATTACTAGAGGGTTCAGTGCATGCCAACTGCCTCTAGTAAGTATTGGATTTATCTAATTTGTCTAGGCCTTACAGATGTGTAGATCGGTTCTCCCTGGCTGTGCCTTCGGGTTTTTATTTTCTGTAATCAAGCTTTGCCCGTTGTTTTATTTTGGTGTTGAAAGTTGTATTTTAGTTTGGTGGTTATTGAGTTNTACACAAATGATGTAGTAATTTATACTTAAATATACTGTAGTTAAATTGAGATAGGCCAATTAAATAGTCTTTTTAACAAGATTCTCTTTCCTCAACCAAATATAGAGACATCCTCCCTCCATCAAATTAAATCATCACAAGTTGAAGAGAATTTTGAGTTAGAAGGTAACTTGACATTTCACCATGTAACTAATTCAAAGGTGTTTGAGAGAACTTATACAATAGCACAAACCTAAAAACATTAAGCAAAAATCCATGTGAAACAAACATTCACCATAGATCAACTGATCACAGTTCTTGACAAAAAACACATGCATCCCGTTGTAGCTCAAATATTTCGACTCAGGAATCATACTAAAAAAATGTGGGGGAAAAAAAGCAGGCAACCAAATTAACTCAAGCAGAGGCATTAACCAGCTGTATCTGATCCGGCTGCAAAATCATACAATGAAATTCATAAGAAGCAGTGCCCAAACAGTTTGCAGTTATTCCAAAACACAATGGTTTTCGACAAGTTCATCCAGAAAAAAAGATTGGAATATAATAGGACAGATGAAAACAGAAAAAACAACTGAAAATTTGGAATACAGTGATCTGATCACTTAATTGAAGGTTTACTAATGACTTTGATTCAAGTATTTTGCGAGTATTATGTGCTTTTTTTCTCAACACTTCATCAACGTGCAACATTTTTAAATTATCAACAAAAGCACAATAAACAAAATGTTGGCATATGATTAAAACCACATTAAATATGTCACAATAGACCAGACAACAGACTAGCTACTTAATAAACACTGTCCATATAAACATTAGGTCACATTATTGATGGGCCATTGGTACATTAGATTATTCATACAGATAAATTTTTGGAAGCATACAAAAGGTCGAGTCATGTGAGTCGAGATTCTTACCGAAGCAAGCTCTTGTTCATGTTTCGGAATAAAAGCCGTATCCACCTTTCCATTTTTGAAGTCCTACGACAAAATACAGCAAGAGAGAGGTTAGTTTTCACGGGAACCTCTAAAGAGAATGAATACCTATGTTCACAAATTGTAACAACCTACCTCAATGTCGAGGATAAGCTTATGGTAGTCAATAGTTGTTGGAACCCCTAGCAACAATAAATTATTGCTTTAGCAAAGAGTCATTGAGAGAATTGTAAGGATATACACCATACATATAACTAATAAATCGATAATATTCATGATATTCAGATAAAAGCTCCTGATAGTTGTGTCATGAGATTGATTGAATAAGGCAACTAAGGATTAACAGAAGGCATATAGAAATCTCTAACAGATTTATATGAATAATTTGAGCAACCGACGAAATATCTCGACAATATTGATGTAAACAATGCAAAGCACAACAACAAAAATGATTGTGCATGAATGTTAAAACTATGCAACTGACATTAACACATGCCAAAGTGCTAGTATTAAACATAAACGGAACATAGAAAAAATAAAAAAAAATACCTGTGATGATGGTATCACTAAGAGCCCTCTTCATGCGCTGAATCGCCCTTTCTCTTGTTGGAGCCCAAACAATAAGCTGAAATTGCAATTACTATCATTCATCTGGGTTTCTACAACTGTTCTTTCTCAATTTAATAAATAAAATATGGATATATAAATAATACGTTTATCTCGCATTCAGTAATGAAATGCACACAAATTATTAGTATTCTTATCATCATTCTAGTCAGATTTAAGATCTTGGCTGTCCGCAAAACCACCGAACAAGATATATACAACTTGAATTATGCAAACAATCAAGCAAAAACAAATATATCAATAAATGATAGATTTCCTTAAGTCTTTAGAGGTACTGCTGCATACAAATATAACAAAATGTCATTCACATCAGGCTTATTTAATCGTGATTTCCTTGCGAAGAAAATGGAAGAAAGAGCATTTTCTTTGCCTACTCCCGTGCCCAAAAACTTCAACAAAATACTTGAGCGCGTAAACATAAACCATAAAATAACATTTGGGCTACCTTTCCAAGCAAGGAATCATAGCTAGGTGGAACCACATAATCAGGATAGATATGGCTATCCATTCGCACAAACGGACCTCCAGATGGCAAGTATGCAGTTATTCTTCCTGTTCAATCATGCATGAGGAATATTAGAACTCAACATACACCACCACAACTAATAAGGTGTAGCACATTGTATCATTTCATTTCATCGGCAAGTTTTTAGTTGAATATTTTTCCCAGTCCCTTGTAGCAAAAACATATTATAGAGAAAACTAAATTATAACAAGTCAAGAAATTAAAACAGTTAAAACAAACCTGGTCCAGGTCTAAAATTCTTGAAAGCATCTTCTGCATTTATGCGACATTCAATTGAATGTCCACTGAGCACAATATCTTCCTATAGATAAGATAATTAATATTCAATAAAAGTTAAGATGGGATATTACATCATTTCAGCACATTGTCCTATAGACAAGAAAACAATAGCAGGTATTAATTAGTTTCACTGTTTTCAAAGGCCATCATTAGTTTACCTGGGAATAACGAAGTTTCTCTCCCCGAGCCACACGAATCTGTTCCTCAATAAGATCAACAGAGGATATCATTTCTGTAACTGGATGCTCCACCTTCACAGCCAAATAAAGTGAAAAGATTATTAGTACACATCAACAAAGAATGAAGTTTGATCAAACTACAAAAAAGACCCAGCTAACTTTGTAAGTTACAGAAACCACCCAAGTCAAAATCAATTTACATTTTGCTAGTGAAGGTTATTAGTCAGATAAAAAGTTGAGGCTATCGGTATTATTTCAACTGTCAATGTGTAATATATCTAACGAAATCCTAGTAAGTCAAGAAAACTAATGGTTGGATCAAGATGTAAAACATAATCAGACCTCAAGGGTGTTTTTTGCATCCTAAGATTTTTTGGGTCTTTTTTGTAAATACATCAAGCCCCTGGGTAGTTTTTGTACTATCTCCATCCAAATTAATGCTACATTCCACAAAAAGTGTCTAAGGCCCTATAGCTTTTTATTTATTCTTTTTTATTTTTCGGGTTTCCTTACCTGGATCCTAGTGTTCATCTCCATGAAGTAAAAGGATCCTCTTTCATCCAAAAGGAACTCGATTGTACCAACACCAATGTACCCAATGGAGGCTGCTGCTGCTACTGCTGCATCACCCATGGCTTTACGCAGCTCGGCTGTCAATGCTGGTGAAGGTGCTTCTTCTAGTAACTTCTGGTTTCTTCTCTGCAAACAAAAAAATCCTTTTCCAGTAAAGATCAAAAATAAAAATCACAGTTCGAGAGCCATAGTCTTGTACAACTCAGACAAGCTGTAAAAGTGCCAACCATTGTATTTCAAAAATTTTGCTAACCTGAATGCTACAATCACGCTCCCCAAAGTGCACGACGTTGCCATATTTGTCTGCCAAAACCTGTACAAGGTGGCATATGGAAATAAGTATCACATTTAATGCATTAAGAAATGATAGAGAGCTCAATAGAAGAATAAATACCAAATTTATGTCGATATGGTAAGTTTTTTTTCTATACAAAGTAGACATTGAAAAGCAAATACACATTGTAAGTTTATGAGTTCACACATTGAACTTGTTGGCAGCTAAATATGCAGATAGTATAAATTCTTAACAGAAAAGGAAACAGGGCAATAACGTAAAGTACATTTTAGTGTAACCAGGGTATTCTATTTTTCAAATTAATCACAACATAATTTTAAGTTGGTTTTTCTTTTCCACTTTACT